GGGCAAAAAGTTTGTGGTTATAGGAGGGTGGGTGCAGGAGGAAAGAGGAGTGATTGGTGGAATGATGAAGTAAAGGTGTGATAAAAGTGAAAAGGTAGCTTATGAGAGGTTTTTACAAAGCAGAAGTGTTATACGAAGAGTAGAGTATATGGTGAGTAAAGAAAGTGTGAAGTGAGTGGTGAGAGAACTGGTGCAAAATGGAGAGTTTGATGTTAGTGGGAGGTAGGGACTGTCAAGAAATTTATGAAAATAAGGAATTTGTTGGGAGCGCGTAGTTAAACAATGTTAAAAATCAGAGTAGGGGTGTAATAGATGGGAAAATGGAGGTATTGGGGTAATTGGCAGAAATATTTTGAGGAACTTTTAAATGTCAGACGAAGGAAGGGAGGCGGATAATTTCATGCATTGGTCAGGGAGGTATACATCCTCTTAGGAGTGAAGAAGAGCAAGATGTGAGTGTGGGGGAGGTGCGTGAGGCATTATGTAGAATGAAAGGGGGTAAAGCAGCTGGAACTGACAGGATCATGACAGAAATGTTAAAAGCAGGAGGGGATAGAGTGTTGGAGTGTTGGTATTTTTGTTTAATAAATGTATGAAAGAGGGGAAGATACCTAGGGATTGGCAGAGAGCATGTTTAGTCCCTTTATATAAAGGGAAGGGGACAAAAGAGATTGTAAATAATATAGAGGAATAAGTTTACTGAGTATACCAGGAAAAGTGTACGGTAGGGTTATAATTGAAAGAATTAGAGGAAAAGACAGAATGTAGGATTGCGGATGAGCAAGGAGGTTTTAGAGTGGGTAGGGGATATGTAGTTCAAGTGTTTACATTGAAGCATATATGTGAACAGTATTTAGATAAAGGCAGGAAAGTTTTTATTGCATTTATGGATTTAGAAAAGGCATATGATAGAGTGGATAGGGGAGCAATGTGGCAGAGGTTACAAGTAGATGGAATAGGTGGTAAGTTACTAAATGCTGTAAAGAGTTTTTATTAGGATAGTGAGGTTCAGGTTAGGGTGTGTAGAAGAGAGGGAGACTACTTCCTGGTAAAAGTAGGTCTTAGACAGGGATGTGTAATGTCACCTTGGTTGTTCAATATATTTATAGATGGGGTTGTAAAAGAAGTAAATGATAGGCTGTTCAGGAGAGGGGTGGGATTAAATTATGGGGAATCAAATACAGAATGGGAATTGACACAGTTACTTTAGGCTGATGATACCCTGCTTATGGGAGATTCTAAAGAAAAATTGCAAAGGTTAGTAGACGAGTTTGGGAGTGTGTAAAGGTAGAAAGTTGAAAGTGAACATAGAAAAGAGTAAGGTGATGAGGGTATCAAATGATTTAGATAAAGAAAAATTGGATATCAAATTGGGGAGGAGGAGTATGGAAGAAGTGAATGTTTTCAGACATTTGGGAGTAGACATGTCAGCGGATGGATTTATGAAGGATGAGGTTAATCATAGAATTAATGAAGGAAAAAAGACGAGTGGTGAGTTGAGGTATGTGTGGAGACAAAAAACATTATCTATGGAGGCAAAGAAAGGAATGTATGAAAATATAGTAGTACCAACATTCTTATATGGGTGCGAAGCTTGGGTTGTAAATGCTGCAGCGAGGAGGCGGTTGGAGACAGTGGAGATGTCCTGTTTAAGGGCAGTGTGTGGTGTGAATATTATGCAGAAAATTCGGAGTGTGGAAATTAGGAGAAGGTGTGGAGTTAATAAAAGTATTAGAGGGCTGAAGAGGGGTTGTTGAGGTGGTTTGGTCATTCAGAGAGAATGGATCAAAGTAGAATAAAATGGAGAGCGTATAAATTTGTAGGGGAAGGAAGGCGGGGTAGGGGTCATCCTCGAAAAGGTTAGAGGGAGGGGATAAAGAAGTTTTGTGGGCAAGGGGCTTGGACTTCCAGCAAGGATGCGTTAGCGTGTTAGATAGGAGTGAATGGAGACAAATGGTATTTGGAACCTGACGAGCTGTTAGAGTGTGAGCAGGGTAATATTTAGTGATGGGATTCAGGGAAACCGGTTATTTTTATATAGCCAGACTTGAGTCCTGGAAATGGGAAGTACAATGCCTGCACTTAAAAGGAGGGGTTTGGGTAATTGGCAGTTTGGAGGGATATGTTGTGTATCTTTTTATGTACAGTGGACCCCCGCATAGTGACCTTAATCCGTGCAAGAGGGCTGGTTGTTATGCGAAATGTTCGGTATGCGAATGAATTTTCCCCATAAGAAATAATGGAAATCAAATTAATCCGTGCAAGACACCCAAAAGTATGAAAAAAAATTTTTTTTAACACATGAAATGTTAATTTTAATACACACAAACTGAAAAAGGCATGCACAATTACATGACACTTACTTTTATTGAAGATTCTGGTGATGATTGATGGGATGGGAGGAGGGGAGAGAGAGTGTTAGTGTTTAGAAGGGGAACCCCCTTTCCCATTAAGACTTGAGGTGTCGAGTCCTTTTCTGGGGTTACTTCCCTTCTTCTTTTAATGCCACTAGGACCAGCTTCAGAGTCACTGGACTTCTTTCGCACAACATATCTGTCCATAGTGGCCTGTACCTCTCGTTCCTTTATGACTTCCCTAAAGTGTTTCACAACATTGTCAGTGTACAGGTTGCCAACACGGCTTCAATGGCTGTGTGAGGGTGATTTTCATCCATGAAGGTTTGCACTTCAAGCCACTTTGCACAGATTTCCTTAATCTTTGTAGTAGGCAATTTTCTTCAATTTCTCTCTCCCCTCCTCTAAAACCAGTTTCCTCAGGTCGGGCCCTCTTGCTGTTGAAGTTGATCTATCAGCTCATCAGTGGTTAGTTCTTCATTGTCCTCCTCCACCAACTCTTCCACATCATCCCCACTAACCTCCAACCCTAAGGACTTTCCCAATGCCACAATGGATTCCTCAACTGGCATAATCCTCTCAGGGTTAGCCTCAAACCCTTCAAAATCCCTTTTGTCTACACATTCTGGCCACAGTTTCTTCCAAGCAGAGTTCAAGGTCTTCTTAGTCACTCCCTCCCAAGCCTTACCTATAAGGTTTACACAATTGAGGATATTAAAGTGATCTCTCAAAAGTCTCTTAGAGTCAGTTGAGTTTCTGAGGTCACTACAAAGCACCTTTCAAACAGAGCTTTTGTGTACAGTTTTTTGAAGTTTGCAATAACCTGCTGGTCCATGGGCTGCAGGAGAGGAGTGGTATTAGGAGGCAAAAACTTCACCTTAATGAATTTCATGTCCCATAAAGTCGCTCTGCCACGTCTGTAGGATGACCAGGGGCATTGTCTAACACTAGGAGGCACTTAAGTTCTAATTTCTTTTCAGTTGGGTTTATCTTTCACATTGGGGGCAAATGCATGGTGTAACCAGTCATAGAAAAAGTCCCTAGTGACCCATGCCTTACTGTTTGCCTCCACAGCACACACAAATTCTCGTTGAGGACATTCTTTTGCCTGAACGGTCTGGGAGTTTCAGAGTGATACACTAATAAAGGCTTCACTTTGCAATCACCAGTAGCATTGGAACACATCAACAAAGTAAGCCTGTCTTTCATAGGCTTATGTCCTGGGAGTGCCTTTTCCTCCTGAGTAATGTAGGTCCTGCTTGGCATTTTCTTCCAAAACAGGCCTGTTTCATCACAATTAAACACTTGTTCAGGTTTCAGTCTTCACTTTCTATGTACTCCTTGAATTCCTGCACATATTTTTCAGCTGCTTTGTGGTCTGAACTGGCAGCCTCACCATGCCTTATCACACTATGTATGCCACTACGCTTCTTAAATCTCTCAAACCAACCTTTGCTGGCCTTAAATTCACTCACATCATCACTAGTTGCAGGCATTTTTTTAATTAAATCCTCATGCAACTTCCTAGCCTTTTCGCTTATGATCGCTTGAGAGACGCTATCTCCTGCTAGCTGTTTTTCATTTATCCACACCAATAAGAGTCTCTCAACATCTTCCATCACTTGCGATCTCTGTTTCGAAAACACAGTTAAACCTTTGGCAAGAACAGCTTCCTTGATTGCCTTTCTGTTGCCCACAATAGTAGAGATGGTTGATTTGGGTTTCTTGTACAACCTGACCAGGTCGGCGACACGCACTCCACTTTCATACTTATCAATGATCTCTTTCTTCATCTCTATTGGAATTCTCACCCTTATTGCTGTAGGGTTGGAACTAAAAGCTTTCTTGGGGCCCATGGTCACTTATTTTCCAGATAAAGCACCGAAAACACTGTAATAATACGAAATATTCTGATTGTGTGCTTGGATGTTACCGCGGAGGCTGGCTGGTAAACAATGCCACTGGCGGAACATTTTGAGGCTGGCTCGGGCCACACATTGGACGCGTCTCGGATGAAGGGCGGTGAACGGGTTTTTGGGCGGTATGCGAGGCAAAATTTTTGCGATCAAAGCGACCGGTATGCGGATTGTACGGTATGCGGGGGTCCACTGTATATGCTTCTAAACTGTTGTATTCTGAGCACCTCTGCAAAAACAGTGATTATGTGTGAGTGAGGTGAAAGTGTTGATTGATGATGAAAGTAGTATTTTCTTTTGAGGATTGTCTTTCTTTTTTGAGTCACCCTGCCTTGGTGGGAGACGGCCGACTTGTTGGGAAAAAAAAAATAACAGCAAGGAGAAACTTCAAAATGCTACCAGTAGTTGGCACCACCATCAGCAAAACATTGGTAACCACTACTAGTACACTTTTCACCTGTTTAGGCTTTCTTTGCTCCAATCATATGATGTGTAAACGCACATTGTGACCTTTGCAAAGAAATAAGTATTTTATTTATTTAAGTAACCTCCCTTGAGGGGGAATTCGCATCCTGAAATTTCCTTCGTATCCAGAAGCAAAAAAATCGACCGAACGACAGTTCGTATCCTGAAAAATTTGCTTGGTGGGGGGTTTGTAAGCCGAGGTTCCACTGTATGTTACTTTTGCATCACTGATGTCTAAATCCACCAGGATGCCAACCACAGTAATTTTGCCTGAGAGAAAATGCATGGCTTAGCAACTGCAGGTAACTTTTCTTTGTCTCCATAACATGATTTATGGATGTTTGCTTCTGTTATTAGTAATAGCGTAGCTTCTGTACACTTGTACATGGTCATATAAGAATTTGAACTATTTTTACTATTTTACTACCTGTAAATGGTTCTAAGAATCGCCACCCTTGTGACAGGCTCCATGATACAGGTACCATCTGACTTACAACCAAGCTTTGTTCCGACCAACCGGTCGTAAGTCAAAATGGACGTAAGTCAAACCTTACTACTGAATATCAATCACATTTTTGTAGTGATTTTATTTCATTTTATTATGGTATTTCATTTTTTTACTTTACTTTTTATTCTTTTAGTACTGTATTTTACCTGTAAGTTTTAGGATAAACACACTGTTCAACACAAACAGTTGTTTATTTCTCAGAAATTTGGCATACAAAACATGGTCGTAAGTCGAGTGGTCGTATGTCGAGCAGGTCATAAGTCGGATGGTAGGTGTACTAATAGATTAGAAGATAAAGTGAGTAGTACAGTACTTCTGTGGGTGCAGATCTGAATGTGAGTTATAGTGATGAACAGTATTAAGCAGATGTCAAAACTATCATGTGACTCGTGTCAACTGTGCCAGTGTCTTAATACCCTGATGCCAGTGTCCTACCACCTTGGTGCTACTGTCCTACTGCCTTGGGGCCCCGGTGCCACAGTCCACCCCGGTGCCAAATGTCCACCTTGAAGAACTGCTGTCAATTCTACTATTGTACTTTGTCGCCATTATTAAGCAAAATTAAGAGTTAGTTTCAGGTCTCCGGTAAACTGTGGATAACTGAAACAGCGGAAACTGAATTTGCAGATACGAGGGTTCTACTGTGTGTAAAAATGAGAGACATTAAGAAGCTTGCAAATTTGGGGGTTTGACTTTACAAAGTGAAATAGTATTAGTGGAAACTAATGTATTTTCCATATAAGCATTAATTAGTGTTATTTTAAAAGTTTGTAATGACTGGAAACACTAAGTAACTGTTTCAACTGAAAAGGTAATACTGTACTTATAATCAGGCAGTGTTGCCTCCAATTGGCGACTTTAAGAATCTTTTGAAAGCTATTTTTCTCGAACTCTTTCAGTAATTAAAATAGATGTAAAAATAGCTAAACTAACTGAACACACTACAGTATTTTACACACATTGTCTAACCTCAGAAATTGTGTGATGCAAGCTCTTGTTTATACATTATATAACACAGTACAGTAAATACTGCATATCTTAATTGATTTCAGATAATTGTAAGAGAAAACTACTTATTAACCCTTTCAGGGTCTCCAGGCCCTCTCCCAGACTTGTTCTCAGGGTCACCCAAATTAAAAAAAAAAAAATTCTTATCAAAAGATAGAGAATCTTTTCCCGATCACAATGACACCAAAAGTATGAAATTTGATGGAAAACTTACGGAATTATGCTCTCGTGATGTTAGCAGTCTCGACAGTGTTTACGCATCGGCGATTTTGCCCAATTTGAGCCCTATTTTCGGCCAATTCCAGTGTACTAGTTGACAGAAATCATAACTATTTTGCTAGAACTCCATTTTTTCTATCGAATGAGTACAAGAAACCGCCCATTTACCGATTTCAACTATCCAATACAGTGGTCAGAATTTAGCAACTTTTGCCAATTTCACACAAATTTCAAAAAGATGCCAATTTCCAAATAGGGTCCAGAATAAACAAGAGAGAGACATTCCTGGCACTAAAATAACATTTCCTCTGTTCATTAGTCATGTCCCCACTCCCCTCTTACATTCTTTTGCTTTCCACTTTGAATTTTTATTCTCACAAAAAATATTTACTGTTATGCAGACTACTGCATTAGTGTAGAAATGGTATAAATAATATCAGCACACCTGTGAAAGAATATTAGACTCGCCAGTTGACGTGTATTGGATGCATGGCATAATTTGTTTAATTTTGAACTTTGGTAAAAATCGAAAATTTCTGCTACTTTGAGCTCAATTTCAAGGTACCTTTCATTGTAAAACCAGTCAAAATCATCTCAATTTCTGTAATATGTCTTCCATTCTATAAAATGAGACCAGGAAAACTAGAATACAACAATAAATACCATACAAAAATACAGTGCAAAGTCACTGTTTCAATCCAAAAACATGGTCAAAGTTTTTTTTTCTCATCACACACTGTGTGCTGCAGGATTTTTTTTATTCCATGCACACTGACCACATAGACCCATTCTTTCATATGTAGGCCCACCAGCTTTCTCTCACTAGATTTGAGGGCGCTAGAATTTAGGCATACTAGTACGTCAAAAACTCTGGTGCGTAAGCCGTACTATTACGTCCGAAACTCTGAAAGGGTTAAAAAGGCTGTTTAATCGTGTTACTTTTTTTTTTTTTAAGAGGAGAGAGATTCATTAGTGTACTCTCATTAACATACAGATTAATGTATCTCAGATTTGGTCTTAACAATTTTTAAATACAGTGGACCCCCGCATAACGATCACCTCCGAATGCGACCAATTATGTAAGTGTATTTATGTAAGTGCGTTTGTACGTGTATGTTTGGGGGTCTGAAATGGACTAATCTACTTCACAATATTCCTTATGGGAACAAATTCGGTCAGTACTGGCACCTGAACATACTTCTGGAGTGAAAAAATATCGTTAACCGGGGGTCCACTGTATATAGTTTATGTATTTTATGACATTGTACATGGTATAGTTTTTATCATTCTGTCCATTCTGTGAAAGTTTTTAAAACACTGTTTTATAGGCAAACTTGGTTTGTGTTCTATATCATAAATAATCTTAGATAAGAAAATGTAAATGTTTTCCTGTGATTGCCTATGTACCATATGCATATATATATGGTTTGATTTTTTTATATTTTGATGCACCTGAGAAAGCATGTTAATTTTCTTTATATTTTTGGACAATTTAAACTTTAATTATTCTTTCATAGACTAGCTAGAGTGCTTATCATATTATACTGAACTAAAAAAAATTCTTGTCAGTTGAAATTGGTTTTAAAGTCCAGAAGGAAAAGTAGCATGTGCTACAATCCATGGAAACTTTTATAACAAACTGTATGGCAAGCTAAACTTTGAAGATGGCTCATTTGGAGTATCCCTGGGATGCTTTGTCACCTTAATGTACTGGAGAGAGAGTGGTTTGTGCCTAGGGATTGGAGCCTCTTCTTTGGGAGGGGTACCACTCAGCCAGTTCAGTGTTTGCCTATCTATGAACCCAGCATCTTTTTTGGAATAAATGGAGGGGGAAGGTTATTTCCAATTACATATATATTTGCTGACGAGGCCAATGACATGGAACAAATTATGGATATGAAATGTGCAATGTGAAAAATATTGAATAGTTTTACTTTCATTGTAATTATGGTGTGTGTGTATACACAAATAACCTGCACATAGAAGAGAGGAGCTGACGACGACGTTTCGGTCCGACTTGGACCATTTACAAAGTCATTTGTGGTGTGTGTAATATGAGTGAATTAGTCACATCAATGGCAGGTTGATAATTTGATAGTGTAAATTGATAGAAACACAGTGTTAAAAAGTGCTTAATAACCAACTGGTTTTATTGCTTTTTAAATAATTGAAACAAACTGCAATAACTTGAGTATATCTGTGCTTGTGTAACTACAAATTGGTAATCAAAAGTAGGTAATACACTTGTATAACCATTCAGTACTTTTAACAGTGTATATAACTTATTATGGAGGAGTAAGCACCACAGGCTTCAGTTTCTACAAATATGTAAACACAAATAGATATTTTCATTAATGATTGTGAATTATTACAGGTTTAATGCACACGTATATATATATTATATATATATATATATTATATATATATATATATATATATATATATATATATATTTTATATATTTTATATATAAATAAAATAGCTGCAGTTTAAAAATAGGCTGTTAGTTCTTTAATTAGTTATGTTTGGCATTTCTTTGAACATATCTTGTTTTTTATGTTGAGTTTCCTCATAGTGTGAGAATTAGTCCATCTGTGATGTAAAAAATCATAGTATGTACATATTTCTTTTGTAAATTCTAAGTCATTCACTGTGTTTTGTGCCTTCTTTTTTGTGTACTTTTTTTTTTTACTGTATTCACTTCATATAGACTAAAAAATTAAGATACCTTTGCAGCAGTTTGTGTGTATTAATTAGATGTGTATGTGTCTTGATTGTCTGCCTCCCAAGCTATCTGTTTTGCTGTCAGTTGGTCAATGCTGAAATGTAGTATGTATATTTTAGCAAAAATGACAGCTTAACTCAGAGTAGGGAGCACCTGTTCGCTTGTTTCTTAACTGCTTCTCTTCCCCCTTCCGTCAGAAGACGGTCACGGGAATTTGGACCTGTGCCGGGGGTTTAAGAAGCTGTTAAAGGGTCAAGAGATACAGGGCCCGTGCCTGAATGAGACTGTCACACAAGAGGCAACTCAACAAGGTAATTCCCCAGCAGTTTCTTGTCACTTGTCTTCACTGGCTAGTTACATGTTATTCACTGATTGTTTAGGTCTCAGTCAGATATTGTAGCTTGTATTGTGTTGTACAGTCTTCATTGTTGGTGTTGTGATTGTGCCTTATAAATTTATTTTGCGTACTTTTTACAGAGATACATCTAAGTGTTATTATTTAACCCCCAGGTGCCTTAGATGAGGATGAGAGTGACAGTGAAGGGGCTGAATTGGGAGGGTCCACCATTGTGACGCCTAGTGGTGAGACCCTTTCCTCCAATGAAAGACACCAGCTACGCCACCGCGAACTCTTCCTTTCCCGTCAGATAGAAACCCTTCCTGCAACACACATACGCGGCAAATGCACAGTCACATTACTCAACGAAACAGAATTATTATTGGCCTATCTCAATAAAGACGTAAGTAGGGATGGAATGATGTCTCGTATTCTATATGAGGCATTTCATGGCAGAAAAAAATAAGTGTCACCATGAACAAAAGCCAGGTTAACGAATGAATTGATTCTTTAATGTTTCGTCTGTTTGTGGGAAAGTACAGTAGGGCCCCACTCATATGGCAGGTTAGGTTCCAGACTACTACCGTAAAGCGGAAATCGCCGTAAAGTGGAACACCTTTTTTTTCCCCTTATAAATGCATACAAATACTAGATAACAAGTTTACACTAACATATATTAACCCTTTCGGGGTCAACAGGCCCTGTCAGAGACTTGTTCTCAGGGTTGGCCAAATTTCAAAAAAAAAAAAAAAAAATTATTTTTTCTCATGAAAAAAGTTTTTCTTTCTAAACATTATAGGCTAAACAAAAATTTTTTTACCATCAATACTTACTGAAATATGGAGGTGTGAAGTTTACCAAAAAGGAGCATCATGTGGTAACATCGCCGACTGCCGTCACCCGGTATTCTTTTATTTAGTGTTTTATGTACTATTTTCTATTATTTTTTAATTTTTCTTTTTCCAAGTAACTTTCATGGCCTGTGAGACAAATATGATCAGTATTTTGTAAGTTATTTCTTCTTCAATACTACACAATGACGGCATAAACACTGTTATCATTGTTTTGTTTACAGAAAATATTTACACAAACAAACGATATGAAATGTTGTTTATTACTAATTTTCTATATTTTATATACACATATACAGTCACAGGGAATGTTTCTAAAAGTTCTGCAGCCTGTGGAAGTCTTTGAAACATGGTGTCATGCACAGTGGTGTTTTACACTCCTCACTCACAAAACGAGCATGTCTGCGTTGTTCTGGGCATTTTTTTTGTATGTACACGGACATAACACCTCTTCTGAGCCTTTTTCTTGAAAGCAGTAGCAGGCAGTTTTACCAGGAAGTGATCACCATGCTTCAAACGAGAAGGAAGTTGTTGAAAATTTGGTGGGCGGTCTATTGCAGGTGTTGTTCCTTGGTACTTGAATACTATTTGTATGATGACAGACAAACAGAATTTGCCATATGGTGGTTTGTTTCTGGTCCTCATCTTGTACATATTATAAGCATTGAGCATGGAAATGTCCAGAAGATGGAAAAAGAGTTTTATGTACCACTTATAACTCTTGTGAACACAATCAGCAAATCCAATCTGCATGTCACATTTGTCCACTGAACGCATATTGATTGTGTAATCAATCACAGCTGCAGGTTTTAGAATGGGTTCATTGCTTTCTCTATGCTGCCTGCCAGTGTCTGCCATTTCATTAGGGTGAACTGATGACAACAGTGTGACATATCGGTTGTCATGCCACTGAAATGCCATGGTCATTGGCAGCAAACGCCTGCACCTCACCTCTACGAGTGCCAGCACCAAACCTGGGCATATGTTTCTGATTTGCACTCAGTGTGCCACACACATCTGTCATGTTCACTCGCAAAAAGTCACTGAGTAAGGGGCTTGTGTACCAGTTATCTGTATATAATATATGCCACTTACCAAGGTATGGTTCTATCATTCTTCTAACAACATCACCAGAGATGCCTAATAACTTCCTGGTACGTATTTTGCAATGTATAACTTCCAGTGTACACAATAATATCCAATACCAGACCACTGTAACAATCACAAAGCACAAACAACTTTATACCAAAGCGTTTCCTCTTGCTTGGTATGTACTGCTTGAAAGAGAGAGTTTCTTTGAACAGAATCAAAGACTCGTCAATTACAAGCTTCCTGAAGGGATAAAAATACACACTGAATTTGTCTTTCAGATACACAAACACATGCCTTATCTTATATAACCTGTCGTTTCTGTCAGGCCTGGTTTTGTCTGAGAAGTGAAGCATACGTAATAGTAGCACAAATCGATTCACTGGCATTTTATCACTGAAACCTGGGGTTGCAATCAGGCGGTCTGTTGACCAGTATGATTTGACACTGTGCTTATACACATGTGGCATAAGCATTATTGTGGCAAAGAAAAGATACATCTCAGCCACAGTTGTCTCCTTCCATTGGTGTAGACGTGATTTTGGTGAAAGCATTGTGTTTGCCATGGTGTACTTGTAGTATGTTGCTTTCCATGACGATACTTTCCATCAGGGGTTCGTCAAAGAATAACTCGAAACATTCCAGTTCACTGGCATTGTTTCCCAGTGTAAAACATGGCCGTATTCCACTTTGGCTGTCATCAAACTGGTCGGGATTTGGAACAAAATTGACAGCTTCCTGCCAATCCCAGGTGCGGTGTGCTGGTGGGTACTGGACAGTGACAGGTGGTTGTGGTTGTGGAGGTTGCTGTTGTGGAGGTTGTGGTTGTGGAAGCTGGTGTGGTGGGTGGGTGGGGGATGTTGGCCTTTGTTGTAGATCAGCTGAGGCAGCGGCATGGGTGGCAGTGTGGGTGGCAGCATGGGCCACTGCTGGTGCCTCACGGCCGGCACCACCACTACCACCACCATGCACATTTTCCATCCCATTGCAACAGTATCATTATCATTTTCACTGTCAGTTCCTGTTGTACAGCCACGGGATGTACTCCGAGATGTACTCCGAGATGTACTCCTTCCCCTTGGAATAGCATATGGCACACTACCAGAGCGCATATACCTTCGTATATACTGACGCTTCACTGGGGAATATTGCACTTCACTATCACTACTGGAACTAGTTTGAAGAGCTTGTAGTTCATAATCACTATCATCACAAATGCTCACATCTGAGTCTGGGATTTGGGAAAATAGGAGTTTCCTTTGATTATGGTACAACTGAACATGAACAAGATGGCCCAGCACCAGAGGTGGAAGGCTGAGGGTCGTCTGGGTTTTCCTCACTATTACCGATATTATGGTCATTAGTTTGGTCAAAACCTCACGAAACACCTTGAAATCATCTTCACGGCACTCCATCTGTATTAGAACGTCACTGGGGAACAAAAGTGTTCCAATTCGCCGAGGAGTAAGGAGCTCTTACCGCGAGGCAGGTGGAAATGGTGTACTAAAACAGGCGTTCCCACAAGGCGCACTGGGTCCAGATTTTTTCTACTGCGCACACCACCACACAGACCATTCTCACATCTAGGCTACCAGCCTTTTCCGCAAAGAGTTGAAGGCGCTAGAATTGTGTACTAGTACGTCAGAAACCCCTGGGCATAAGCGTACTAGTAACGGCAAAACCTGAAAAGGTTAAAGGAGCAATAGAAAAAGCTGAGGCATCAAAAAACAAAAAAAAGTAAAATGCACACATAGTGCATCATTACTAAAATTTGTAGTCTTAATGCTAGGGTGAGAACAAGGGAGTAACTGTAAAAAAATCAGTGTGGTATGTATGGTAGTCATACGGGACCATATCCAGGCACACACTAACAAATATTCAGAACATTAAGACACAGAGCGATAAAAATGCATATACCGTTCACTCATTACTTACCTAAAAATTTGTAGTCTTAATGTAGGGTAGAGGTGAGTAAACGAGATAAAACGAATAAATGAGGAGAGAGAGAGAAAAGAACGAGAGGGAGAGAAACGAAGAGGGAGAGAAACGAGAGAAGAGAGAGAGAGAACGAGAGAGAGAGAACGAGAGAGAGAGAACGAGAGAGAGAGAACGAGAGAGAGAGAACGAGAGAGAGAAGAAGAGAGAGAGAGAGACGAGAGAGAGAGAAACGAGAGGAGAGAGAACGAGAGAGAAGAGAGAACGAGAGAGAGAGAACGAGAGAGGGAGAGACTGAGAGAGAGAGAGAAGAGATGGAGAGAAGAGAAGAGAGAGAGAGAACGAGAGAGAGAGAACGATGAGAGAGAGAAGAGAACGAGAGAGAGAGAACGAGAACGAGAGAGAGAGAACGAGAACGAGAGGAGAGAGGAGAGAACGAGAGAGAGAGAGCAGAAGAGAACGAGAGAGAGAGAACGAGAGAGAGAGAGAACGAGAGAGAGAGAACGAGAGAGAGAGAACGAGAGAGAGAGAAGAGAAGAGGAGACCGAGAGAGAGAGAGAGAACGAGAGAATGAGAGAGAGAGAGAGAACGAGACGAGAGAGAATGAGAACGAGAGAGAGAGAGAGAGAACGAGAGAGAGAGAATGAGAACGAGAGAGAGAGAATGAGAACGAGAGAGAGAGAGAGAACGAGAACGAGTACTTGAGGGAGGACAGGCGCAGAGTTATGTAAACAAACCAGGTGAAACATACATTTGTAAACAAAGTGTACACCTCCAGTTTGTGTACAGGTTGTCTCTACATTGATACGGTAGAATAAATAAAGAAGAACACTCCCATTCTCATGTAACACCATTTTTAGAAGAAATGATGCTGAGTGAAGGCAATGGAATTAAGTCACTCTGTCTGACCTTTTTTGGGTTATCCTAGGTTCTCTACACACATGCTGTTATGTGTGATAATCTATGTAACTGTGTTTGTGTATACCTGAATAGACTTACATACGAAGGAATAATTTTTTACAGTTACCCCCAGTAACATGTTTTCTCTGATGTTGGACTAGAGAAAATTTTATTCTTGCCATCACTCGTAAAAGTCTGGCTCCCACATCTCATATACAGTGGACCCCCGCATAACAATATTAATCCGTTCCTGTGAGCTCATTGTTATGCGAAATTATCGTTATGCGAATGAATTTTCCCCATAAGAAATAATGGAAATCAAATTAATCCGTGCAAGACACACAAAAGTATGAAAAAATTTTTTTTACCACATGAAATATACATTTTCCTACACACAAAGAGAAGGATACATGCACAATAGTAGAGTAGTACATGCACAATATATATTGTGCATGTACTACTCTACTAAATGAAGAATAAATGACACTTACCTTTATTGAAGATGCAGCTATGACTGATGAGACACTGTGTCCTGGGAGTGCCTTTTCCTCCTGAGTACTGTAGGTCCTGTTTGGCATTTTCTTCCAGAACAGGCCTTATCACACTGTGTATGCCACTACGATTCTTA